GCTGTAAATTGTTCAGACTAGAATAGACATTATAGGAGATAGAGTATATAGCAACAATAGTCCACCTGTTGGTTAGAAACCCAAATTAGTGAGTACCTAGGTAGTTAGTCTATTATAATAATGCTGAAATGATAGAAGGCCAACCAATCTTTCAATGATTTTGGATAAAGTGGGAAGAAGTACAAAGCTCTGATGTTTCCACGAATGTTAGGAAGGAGCTGTGTAAATTCATATTGGATATTGGTATTAGATATACATGAAAGCGGATCGCGAGAAGGAGCTATAGTAGTCATTAATTGTTTTGCCACATTTACAAAGTAATCGTTTAGGTTCTCAGATGAGGTAGAGGTTATAGTGGACAAGAAAGCCTTTATTTCTCAAATCGTTGACAGTTGATCATATTTCTTTGGCAACTTTCTCTGTTGCTTTAGACCTTGTCTTTTGACGGATGACTCGTAATTTCTAGTTCGATATGATATGATATAAATTCGATACCAGTGGGTTTTCAGTATCGAATATTGCTTTGGAACATGGACACTATTGAAGAATGTTTATGTTTTTTTTTCGGTTAAATTCCACAAATTTGACGAATCAAAGTACAGCAGCATTCAGAGATTTACATCCCAAGATGATAATGATGCCGAGCCCTAAATGACCTTTCATTTATTATGCGGACTTAAGTTGGTTAGCAGTGTCGCAGTTTCAATTTTTAAATACTTATCGGTAATTAATAGCCCTTCTAAATTCTTAGAACCACTAAACATCTAAGTAGTAGCTTAACTGTACTCAATGCTTGTAGAATTTTACTCACAAACGAATTCTTTCAATGGTATCTCGTATTCTTGCATATATAAAATAAAAAATAAAATAAATCTTTTTAATTAATCACAAATCATTGGTTGCACATCGTATCCTTTAATGATATGGGAAGGTACCAACCAACCAAGCCATGAGGTAATGAACTCTCAGCAGCGATTCTTTTACGCCTTGTACTTGACTTTTAAAGAATTTACACTCTTGCACACATACACTCGGTGAGAACAATTTATAATGACGAAAAGTACGAATTCTGAATTATGTTTTATGTGGAATCACGCGAATACTGAAAGGTTATGTAACGAAAAGTACCGGGTAGTTATAATTTTATGGGCGGTAAATTAAGTTTATTTTACTATGATGGGAAGTGCTGGGAGGCTAATTAGTATAGGCATTGTTTTAGCTTAGCATCTGACGGTATTTGTGATGTAAGTATGTGGTCTTTCTTGCAAATACCCATTTAAAATCAAGAATGCCGAAGAACCAACCATTTTTTGGTAATAAAAGTTTCCGCTTGCCGGTAGTAACGTAATGGGGAAGATATTTTACGACATAACTGACCAATAGACGACACACACCTAGTAGAATTTTATGTGTTTAATTTTGGTTAATTTATCATTAAACTTAACGGTGGGTGACTACTTTTGAGAAGCTGTATTATGGGTCAGAGGTGAGGCAGATAACATACCTTTAAGTTTCGAATTTGCAATATAGAAACATTTTATTTGCAATTCAATCAAATCACAATTTAATTCTGAACTTTCACTGTTAGGCACATGAAATATCTATCTTTAAAGAAATTCCGATGTCAAACTTGAAATTAAATGCTTCCTAATAACCAATAGACTTCTTGCACTCAATCGAAATTAGGTATACAAATAATTTATCTGTAACGAAAGTTTATTTGATATACTACATAATAGTATTGTTGATTAATTTTTTTAAAAATCTTAAAGGCAGAAATTAAAAGAAAAAAAAGCAGATTATTTGAATTTTGCGCCATATTTTTGCACCAATCAAAAATCACTGTTTGCCAAATTTCCATGTTCCAAACGAATCTTTTTTTTTTCTTTTTTAACACATCGAACAAAAAGGAGGCATATAAATATAAAAATCGCTTTGTGGATCGACTTTGGTACAGCCCTACTTTTAACAAGAAAAATAAAACGACACTTAATGAAGTTTCGACAATTTTGTTTTCTTGTCTAAATACGAATTAGACAAAGAAAGTACTAATCCGGCACAGTATAAAGTACGAAAACGATAAAAGGGATTTTTATTTGTCAGAATGATTTTTGTTTACTGTTTACTATTAGGTCAGTGACCTCTGGCCAATTTACCAAACAAAATAATCAATAATTAACAACAAAATACAGTCCCTGACACTGGATGATTAGTCAAAATAAACCAATAAACGGTTCCGAAAGGTAATCCGGAGTAAACTTTGTCCGGAGTCACCCTGAATGTAGTTGGAAAAAAAAAAAGGAAATAGGATGTTTTTGCCTGTGAAAATGTAGAGAAACTGGTATCGAATAGGTACAGACACATAAAAATTATACTCTCGTCGTATTTCCGATAATCCACTTAGAAGAAAAATAACAATAATTTTAATAGGTAATTATAGGTATACCTATTTCAGTGCCGAAATTAAAAATGTAAAATGAAAACTGAAAACACAACACTAGGTGCCTTCTGTCTGTTTTGGAGTTTTGGACAGGCTAATAAATAAAAATAAATAATGATTATAATGAATTAAAAAGTTGGGTTAAGTTTTTCATAGGGATGAGAATCGATTCTTTATTCCGATACTTACAAACCTGTAGATTCGATATATCGATTTAGTTGTCGCCGCCAGGAAAAGTTTACATGAAATCGATGACATCTGGGCAATACTGGATGAAATTGACCAATCAGAAATTTGAACTTCAAATCGAAATTTAGAGCCTTTGCAAGTCCGAAAAAAATCGGAAAAAAATACAGTTGAGCTTAATTTTGACTCCTCTTTCCAATAAGCAAATAAAAACAATTCATGCAAGAAACCTATTGTGATAGAGGCTTATTTCTTCAACCATTGTTCTCAAGGATGCAGATACGGGAGGTATGTTTTTCATCGCTTATGACCCAATTGTTTACACTTCCTTGGAAATTTGAAATGTCAATTTGTATCGTCCACTCTGTGTGCTTACCATACAGAGTTGTTTTAAAAGATATTTAGGAAAATAATTCTGTTTGCAGGGAGTATGTGGTCACGATTGCATCACCAAACTTTGCAAACAAATATAATACGGATAATAAAAAGGGATAAGTCAGGCGACAAGATAAATTAGGTTAAGGCAATAGTTTTGTGCCTATTTTTTTTTTCCGCGATAAGATAGGATAATAGAAGGAAAAGTTTCGTAAAAATTTCACCATATCCTTATGAATTCCTTAATATGGAAACGGATTTTTGAATCAATAAATTTGTGTCTTTTAAATTTTTTTCTTTTTAATGATCTATTTGCTAAAAAATGACTTGAACTGATATGTATGTAACGATATTATTATCTTGAGGTTATTATTTCTAAGATAATTTTTTGAAATTCTGGTCCCTAATAAATAGGGAACAAGGATAGCTTCTATAGGTATGTATGTTTAATTTTATTGCAACATGATAAACTTAATGAGCTATTATGAAGCTCTGGACAGTTCCTTTTTTTTTTCGTGTAGTCGAATTCTTAAGATTTTAATGTCATGATAGTGATGAGATAGATAATGTCTTAATGGTCACTGTTGACCTCCGCCAATGGTGGTAACAAAACAGTCTAGTCCGTGGTTCGTCCGCTTGACCTCCCAGTCCGTGGTCTGTCTCCCACGCCGCATCGTTGATCTTGCAGGACCACACTGTTCAGCTATTTTTTTCCTTTTTTTTTTTCACCATCTTTATTATACAGTCTGTCCGCACAATGGACGGCCATCGTACACAATTTTATGTATAATTTTTATCTGCCCTCAGATATGATCTGTGCTGCAAAAAGAGCGCCTGCAACAGGCCTGATTTACATAATACGGCCGCGTATGTTATACCGTCTCACCGCGACCATATAAATAAACGAATATACATACACGACGACGGCAGGCCGCATATATGAAAGAAGATGGTGCTTTAGATGTTTTGATAAGGTCGCCATATTTGCGAAAGCTATCGTTGTAGGAAGTATTAGTTACATAGAGCAGACGGCTGGGAAATATATCATTTTGGTCTCGGCCGCGCTAGCTGGACATGGTTATGAGTAGAACGATGAAAGTTACGACAGGGATCGTGTGATTCATCATAAAGCATCAGCTATGATCCACTATAGGTCTTACACTTGAAGGAGAATTTCGTACTTATCTAAAAACTTATGATCAGAATATCACCAAGCTTGTAGCAATTTAAATTGACCCAGATTCAATTAAAAGCATTTACGCGCATTTTAAAGCACAATTTGATGTTTAATATTTCTGTCTCTATCTTGGAGAAGTCTTTTATGAGACTATCTAAAGAAATTGGATGTAGTCCGTACACCTTAATTCAAAATACGAGCTCCCTTATTTCTGATCAGTATAATCAATCTTCTCTTATAAAAGGGACGCAATTAATATAAGTATTAACCATTAGATCAAATTATTCTCCTATAATACCCAATGATCGAATGAAACCGGATATGATGAGACCTAACACACATCTTAAATATTGCTTGAAGTACAAAGAAAGAAAAAAATCGAAACTTATATTTGACTGTTTTCAATCTAAAAAGAAATCGAAGATGCGTCCGAAAATCGTAGCGCCACTGCATAATATAGGTACACAGGAAACATATTAAATGGTATATCGTTGTGGCATGGAGTTATGTTTGCCGAAGAAGTCTCAAGTATGGCCTGTGCCCAGTGCAGAAAGATAAACATTTTACAACTGAAGAATTTCGAACTCAAATCGACTCCACTCTCAGCATTTATGATCGGCGAAGTATTTTAAAATACCGTTCGAAGCGCGGTTTTATTGGATATTTAATGTGAGGTTAGGTAGTCGGTAAATATACGGCTTGGAGCGCTCTCTCAGAGTTGGTTATTAAGTTTTTAATAAGGTAGAATGTCCTGAAGAACTTTGAAATTCTTGCTTTTCATTTTGAATTATTTTTAACGTGACTTTTCTCTATTTGTTTTAGCGCCTGCGCTAGGAGATCAAATTGCCGAACAAAGCACAGAAATTGAATACTATCCAGGTAAGATTTGAATTAGGCTACGGTTAATCCCTTTAAAGTTAGAGCCGTATGAGGCGATCCAAATTCTGACACTTAATCAACGCATATTCTCAATTGAGCAGTCGAGCGCCAAGCTTAAAGTTGAATGGGCAACTACCGTCCCTCGTACACGCATACGGCTATTGTATTAGGACAAAACCTGCAATAAACCGAGCGGTACTAAAAATAATGTACAATCATAAACCTATATTAACCATGGAATTGTATCGAAACTATCAAATGTTTTATTGTAGTTGCCGATGCAACTGGTTGCTACTACAATTTTCAACACTACGATGAAGGCGACCGAATAATCACAAATGAACCATGTCTAAATTGCACGTGCCACAACCGGATGCTCATGTGCTATCTAAGGGTGTGCCCGTTTACCAAAGCCATTGGAGCAAATTGCAAAGTGGAGAAACGACCTGACCAGTGTTGTCCTGTGATAACTTGCCCTGAAGGTAACAACCACCATTATTTCAAAACTATTTATTCAATTGTAATATATTTTTTTCAGTTCCCGTTGAACTAGTCACCTCAACAGCTCCATCAACTGCCTTGGGCCACATAAACGAATACGGATGTTCCATCGATAAATTGTTTTATGCTGATGGAGCCCGAGTACCATCAAATCCAGAAAACCCATGTGAATTGTGCTACTGTATCAGAAATAAAACTGCGTGTGTCATGCAAGAATGTACCTTGAATGTTGAAGGCTGTAGACCTGTTTTTCAGGAAGGCGTATGTTGTCCTGTTCGATACAATTGCGGTAAGCCTTTTCATTTATATTTCAAATTTTGTATGAATAAATATTGTTTTTATAGAACACCCAGACTATCTTGAAGGTCCTACAACTCCACAAATTACAACGACCACTACAACAACAACAACAACCACAGAAGCACCAACTACAACGATACAACCCACCTTCGAATGTGATTTCCATGGAGTCAGATACAACGATGGTGAAATGGTCAAAAAAGATATACCTTGCGAGAAATGCTATTGTATGCGTGGCGATATTGTCTGCGCTGTTCAAGAATGTGGTCCCACTCCTCTGGATAAAGTCAATTGTACCGCTTTGCCAGTACGCGAAGGCCAATGTTGTCCTGAAACTTATGATTGCGCTGGTGTTATTGAAGAAGAATTAACAACTTTGGCTTCGGTCTCTTACGAAATTGAACCGACAACACAACCAAATGTGTTTGAGGGTAAGGTTACTCAACAATCATTGACAACTGTGCAAATTGAAGAAGAACAAAAAGAAGAAGCCAGCACTGAAACACCTGAACTTGGTACCAAAGCAGCTCTCCCAGAGGAAACTTTGAGTGAGGGTGACAAAGGTCAAACAAAAATTGAAGAAGAGGGTCCAAGCACCCCTGAAATAATTGAAGAAATTATTAAAGAACCTGCCGAAGTTCCTGAGACAGCTGAACAGGCCACTGAAAAAGCCACTGAAGAAGTTACCACCGCTCTAATTCAAGAGTCAGAAGAAACTGAAAAACCAGAATCAGTAACCAAAGTCGGTGTTGAAACAACTGAAAAAGAATCAGTTACAATTATCACTGCTATCACTCCTGAAGGTCCTGGTCCCGAACTTCCTACTACGATATCATCAGAAGTTTCTTCTAAAAAAACTTTAGCAGAAGAAGAATCTAAAACAACCGAAAGTCCAGTTGAATCATTCACTAGTAGAGTAACTGAAGCTATCGAATCAATTACATCAAGAGTAACGGAAGCCGTTGAAGCTATTACTACGGCTATTAGTGGCAGTACTGAACAACCAATTACAGTTCCAATCAAAGAAGCATCTGAAATATCGACAGAAAGTGGATTAGAACAACAAACAGAAGAATTTATCACAAAGGCATCTATCCCAGAAGAAGAACCAGCTTTCCCAACACACCCAGCTGAGTCCGAACAACCTAGTGTTACAGAAAAGGAACAACCGGAAACATCTCCCGAAGATTATGAATCCGACAAAGCTGGTGTTACTCCTGCTGATTCTGAAAAAGAGAAGCCAGAATCATCGGTTACTGAAGTATCGAAAAAAGAAACGGAACTTGAAGCTGCAACAGAAAGTTCAGGTGGGGAAGAACAACCAACCACAATAGAGGCTATTGCATTACCTGAAGAACAACCAACCACCAAAAAAGCTGAGGAACAAACAACAATCGCTAAACAAGAAGAAAAGCCCGAAGGACCAATCGTTCTTGACAAGGAACAGGGACAAGAAACCGAATTACCAACTGACAAACCCAAACTGCCACAAGAAACAGTAACTGGAACTGAAATAGAATCACTTGTTACTGAAGAAGCTACTACAGCAGCCGTTGAAACTGAGAAACCATCAGAAGAACAATCTACTGAAACGTTCAAAGAAACATTTACTGAATTACCTGCCATTACCGATGAACAAGAACCAACAAAGGAAGTACAAAAAGTTGTTACCGAAGAATCAATTGTACCTGAAAAATGCGAGGGAGAAAAATGTGCTAGAAAGCCAACTGAAGAAGGAACAACAAAGTTGCCAGCTGCTATTGATCATCCAACCGCTGGTGTTTCAGAGCAACCAACTGAAGAAAGCCAACCAACACTTGCAGAACAGCCGACCACCGAAGCTAAATCAGAGCAACCAACTGCAACAGAACAACCAGAAAGGATTTCAGAACAAACCGAAAAAGCACCGCAGCAACCAGTTACAGAACAAAGCAAACCTGAAATTGAAGCATCTGAACAGGAGATTGAAACAGAAATTCCGGCAACGACAGAAGAAGAAGTTGTTATTGTTACTGAAATTTCTGCCAAGAAAACTGAAATTCCAGAATCAATGGATCATGTATCTGAACTTATTAGTTCTACTGGAGCTCCAAAAGAATTTGCACCAACAACTGTCGCTCCCGTAGAAGTTGAAACTGAACAAGAAACTAGTACTGGAAGCCAAAAACAACCAGAAGCTGAAACTGAAAAAGCTCAACCAGAAGCTGAAACGGAGAAAACTCTACCAGAAGTATCAAGCGAAGCTCCGGAAGCGCCTGGTGAAACTCCTGCTATTGGAGAGAAACCGGAGGCAGAAACTACCGGTGTACCTGTACAAACGCCTACAGAACAACCCAAAGTACCAGAAGAACATACTGAATCAGCAATAACAGATGAAAAATCGACAGAGAAAGTTTCAGAAATCACAACTGAAACACCCAAAGAAGAAGAAAATGAAATTGAACATGTTGACAGTCCAAAAACTCCTGAACAACAACCAGCTACTGTCTCTTCTGTCGCAGAAGAAGAACCAACTGAAGAAATCGAAACAACTGAACCCGAAATCAAAAAAGATGTCTCAACTCCTCCCGACTCATCTGTCACTGAAGAACAAATTACCGAAAAAGCTATTGTTCCTGAAGTTTGTACTTCTGAAACAGAATGCGCGCCTGCTCCTTCTGTGCCAAAAGCCGAAGAGCCCGCTTCTTCTATCAAACCCGAAGAAGTTGAGGACGTTAAAATTCCTGCAGAGACTACTGAGACAAATAGGATCCCTGAGGAGCCTACTGATGAGACTAATGAAATTCCTGAAACTGGTACCGAAATGGTTAAGTCCACTGAAAGTGTTCATACTGAGAGCTCAGGAGATATGTCCTCGGACATATCTACAGAACCACCAACTAAAGAAGAAGAAGGTTCCGGGGAAGCTCCACAGGAAGGTAGTGGAGCCTCTGAGGAAATTCTCCCTGAAGTTACCGAACCAACCTCTGTTACGAAATTACTTTCTTCAACTGAACAATCAGAATCTGAATCCATCACAACAAAACTTTCTGAAAAAGTTCCTAGTAGTACAACAGTTCCCACAGAATCTACCTTTGAATTTGCAACAACTGAAACAGGAAGCAATATTCCAGAGACAACCGAAGAAGTTTTACCAGAAAGAGAAATTCCTGGAGAAGGAAGCTGCTTGGTCGATGGACAAACTTACAAAAACAACAGCAGTGTGCCTCCTATTAATCACTGCCAGATTTCATGTAGGTGCGCCAGCAGCATCCTGAGATGCGACTCGATTGAATGTACTCCACCTCCTCCTGGACTTCAGAATTGTTTGCCGATATTCAATAGCCCCGATAGTTGCTGCCCAACATACAGCTGCAGTAAGTCGAACAAAATTAAGTATTTATTTCCTCAACAAAATTTTTATTTTTTTAGCTGGACCTGAAGCAACTAGTCCAATGGAATCTGACAGCAATGTAGTTCAAACAACTACAATAGCAAGCGAAGAAATCCAGACTCTTAAGTCTAGACTACCAGAAAACACTGAAATGCCTGACGAAGCTACCAGTTTCCCTACTCAACCGGCTAAAGAAATTTCTGAAACTTCAGCTGAAATTACAACTGCGAAAGTTGAAACTGAAGCTCATGCAACAGAAACATCCCTTGAAGAAGCTGAAGAACCTAAAAACGAAATAGTTACAGAAATTGGAGAAGCCACTACACAATCCATACCTGAAGAAGCCACAGAACAAGTAACAAACGCTAAATTACCTCAACTTGAGATTTCTTCAACTGAAACTGCTGAGCCGGAAGCTACTAAAAAACCAACACAAGAACTCGCCACAAGTGAAAAAACGACTCAACAAGCTGATGATGAAACCAGTGCCATGCCAGAATTTGAACCGACAGAGAAACCTTTACAAGGTGAGAAACCAGAAAATGTCAGCAAAGTTGTTGAAGAAGGACAAGCTACTGAGCAACCTATTATTGGAGTAGAAGAACAAACCGAAACTGCAACTGAATTACCTGTTGAACATGAAACTAATATTCCTGAAATAGTGTTGCCTGAAGAAGTTACTAAAGCTCCCGAAGTAATACCAGAAACTACTGAAAAAGGAATTGAACAGGAAGCTGCAACTGTAGATGGCCAACCCAAGCCTGAAACTGAACAATCAGAAGAACCAAAATTAACAACGGAAATTTCAGAAGTTGTTGAAAAGGCCACTACCTCATCACCTCATCATGAAGAACCATTTGGAACAAGTGAGCCTCATGGACCAGTTACTGAACTTCCAGTTATAACTAAAGAGGGCACGGAAGCGCCTGTAGTTCCAGAAACTAAGCCAAGTGAAGCAGGAACTGAGGAACATATAAGTGAAGTACCTGAAAGCCGCCCGTTGACAGAAATATATAGTGCATCAACGCCTGGAGAAGAACTTGTTGAACACGTTACTATGCCTGCAGAAGAAATGGGAACACCAAAACCGATTGAATCGGATTCGCATGTAACAATTCAACAGCCAACTAAAGAAGGAGAACAAACAACGGATGAAGTCATAGTTACAGACACACCTCAACTGTCTGTTGAACAAGAAAAGAAAATTACTAAACCGCAAGAAGGAATTACTGAAACACCTGAAGAACATGGAGTGAAAGGATCTACACCAGCTGAAACTGAACTTGGAAAGGAACCTACAGAAAAAGGTCCAGCGGAATCTGTCGTGACAGAAACTCAAACAAATGAAATTTCGACATCTGAAGAGGTTACCGAAGAAGATAGACATCCATCTGCTACTGAAGAACTCCCACCGTCTGTTACTGAAAGAGTAGAAAAACTTCCATCAGAGGATGCAACAATTCCCGAACAGGAAACGGAAAGTCCTTCGCCAGTAGCTGAAGAAGCCTCAGAAAAGTCTACACAACAACATGTAACAGCTGTGGCGACCGAAGAACCAAGTACAGAGGAAAATGAAATTCCTGGTGCTGAACAAGATAAGGAAGGCTATTCTCCTGCTCCACATATACCTTCAGAAGGACAAAAAGCTGGTGAAGCTACAGAAGTACCAGAAAAACCAAGTAAGGAAGAAGGTGAAATGGAAACTGAAAGGCCAAGTTCACAAGAAAAAAGTCAAACTACATTGCCTACTGTTGAAGTCATGTCACAAACCTCTGAACCAGAAGATCAAACAGCCAAATTACCAGAAGCTGTTACTTCACCAACATCAAGCAGTGAGCCACCTGCAAGGGAACCAGTTACCGAACAGTTGCCCGCAGAAGGTACCTCCAAATCAGCCCTCTCAGAAGAAACTACACAAACGCAAAGGCCACAACCTGAAAAAGAGGGAGTTACCGGTGAAACGGTAATTTCCACTGGCGATGAGGAAAAACTGACCACCACTGAAAATCCGATTATCAGTTCTGAGGAGACTGAAAAACCTAGTGAATTTGAAGAAGAAAGTAAACCAGCAATTCCTAGTGAAACAGAAAGACCTGTTTTATCTGAAGAAGAAACCAAAACAGGAACTCCAAGTGGAACGGAAAAAACTGTTATATCTGAAGAAGAATCTAAGACGGCAGTTCCAAGTGAAGCCGAAAAACCTGTTGTACCTGAAGAAGAGACGAAGACGGCTATCCCAAGTGAAACGGAAAGACCTGCTGAATCTGAAGAAAAAACTGAGACAGCATTTTCAACTGAAACGGAAAGACCTATTGTATCTGAGGAAGAAATTAAGAAGGCAACTCCAAGTGAAGTTGGAAAACCAGCTTTATCTGAGGAAGAAATTAAAACAGTTACTGGAAAACCATTCGCAGAAGAAGCTAAACCAAGCGGAACGGAAAAACCACTTGAAGGGGGAGAAACTACACCAAGTGAAACTGAAAAGATAGCTACTACTGAGAAGGAAATTGTTCCCAGTGAAACCGAAAAATCAATCGAATCCCAGACGACTAGACCTGGTTTATCAGAAGAAGAAACTAAAGCAACTATTCCAAGTGAAGCAGAACGCCCTGCTGGAACTGACGAGGAAATGAAAACAGCTACACCCGGGGAAGAAACAAGAACAACCACTTCAAGAGGAACTGAAGCTTCAGTTTCTTTAGAAGAAGAGACAGAAGCTACCAAAGTAGCAGTTGAAGGAGAACCAACAGAAAAATCAACATCTACACCTGAAGAAGCAATTGGCGCTGAAACTGAACAACCCATCGTACCAGAAAAACCGGCTAAAACAGAAGCTATAGCAACTAAAGCCCCAGAATCTGTTACGATATCTTATCCACAAGCTACTGAACAACCTATTTCATTCCCTGGCGAAACTATTATTACTCAAAAACCTGTTGAAGTATATACATCATCACCTGAAGCTACTACAGAATTGGAAGAAAAACTCAACATTTCTCTACCTAGTAGAGGAGGAGAATTGTTCACTTCAGGATCAGAAGCAGAAGCCACAACAAAACCTCATGTCCCTGGGGAATTGTCCACGTCCGCTCCAGTTTCTGAGCCAACCACTATCTTGCCAGCTACCACGAGTACAGAGCTGCCATTCAATGGAGAACAAGTACCTGAACCTGGCGATTACGAACAACCTGGAGAGGAATATGAAGATGAGGACCAAAATGCTTTCGGACCTGGTACTTGCAGGTTAGTAATTTCATGTTTTAGAGAGATTTTCCAAGTGATTGAATTTGAATTTTCTGTGTAGATACGGAGGAAAAATTTATGTTTCCGCCCAACAAATCCCCAGAGAAGATCCTTGCGATTTCTGCTTCTGCTTCAGAAGCGACATTATCTGTCTACAACAAAGCTGCCCGCCACCTATACCCAGGTGCCATGAGGAACCTATCAGAGGTTTCTGTTGTCCGAGGTACGAGTGCCCTGTTTCTATGGCCACGGCTGTTAATGTTACCACTAGTACAACGACAACGACGACAACGTTGCCTCCTCACTTTTTGTCACACGCTTTTAAGGGTAGAGCAGCGAAGACTGGCTGCCAGATATCTGGCAGGGCCTATAAAGTGGGTGATGTGATTCGATCGACTAGTGGACCTTGCCTACACTGCACGTAAGTGTTAACTTTTTTTTTTTCAAAAATCGAGCAACCTCATCCTATTATCTCAGCATATTAATTCTATAAATTCAAATAGGAAAGGTTAGTCGTCCCATAGTTCTCATCGAGCCAAAGAATAAGATAAATCAAATAAAATAAATTTAAGTCTTTTGTAATGTCTGAAAGTTCCATCCAAGGTATTAAACATACCTACTCATCTATGCTCTATCTATGATCCGTCTGCCTATTTGGAGATGAATTTTATGTCATATTTGTAGAAAAAAAAAACGATTTTATATAAAATTCTCATATAAAAAAGTGTGTCTAACTTGAAATGAATAAACCAGACTTGGCATGAAAATTGTTCGTCAATTTCAATTATTATGACTAACGTAATGTTATAATTGATGGTTATTTAGAAGGTCGCCTCAAACATAATTTGCAAACAATGCAATATAGCTACAAACAAGAAAATTATTTATGTGGACATGAAAATAGATAGGTACCTACCTACGTCCTACTATGACTTTTTTGTCAGAAAAACGACCATCTACTATTTCGCATATCAGTGTAAAGCAAAAGCCCTTAGAAAAACAAAAATGTTTCGTAAAGAATGAAATGAAATATTCATGAATAATCAAGTTCTTCCTAATGAGGTAAAATAATTTGGGATTATTTCTATAAATAATATACTCAACATAATCAGGAGGTTGGTAGTAACCTTATATGCAGGGAGCGATGCCAGCGGTAGAGCCAATCATGCCAGTAAGGTCTAGAAGAGATTAACGTGAGGTTTTAAGAAGATTTTTACCCAGAGGGGGCGACTGCAAACAGCGTCTGTCTCTAGGTGAGGAGTGGCTGATGACGATCTAATTCGCCAACACATATGGCCAGCGTAGCGTTTCACGGCTGAATACTTTCCAATCTGGACACACCACTTTCAACCCCACAATCATTTTATCAGTCAGCTCCAAACGATCAACCATATACTCCAACTTGACCTCAAGAAAAATACAAATTAACAAAAAAAAATAGTCCGCAGATAAAATAGGTATATGTCCCAACAAGCGCATCAAAAGATTTGATATAGATCACTGATCAGGGGAAGCTATATAGTTCAAAAACCGAAGGTCCTCACTACGCAAGAAAGGATATAACAAAATTCGGTCCAGAAGACATACCCGAAACAGATAACGCTGAAATAACAAAAGCACTCAGTCAAATGGTAAATAAGAAAAGCTTTTATTAAGCTTGGATAACCACTGAGATGTTGAAAATAAGCGGAGAACATCCGACAGGAAGGTTGAGAATTTTGTTAAACAAGTGCTTCATACATGAAAAAATACCCGAATATGGAAAAATTCAGAACTCATATTATTGTACAAAATGGGAGAATGAAATAACATAGAAAACTATCGACCAATTAGTTGTCCCTCTTGTACGAGCCTCTTACACAAATATTCACCAACAGATTGGTGCAAAAAGAGGATGAATACCAACCATAGACCATCTTCAGATAGTACGTACTTTTATTGAACAAAACTTCAGGTTTCAACGTGACCCCTTTGGACTTTATTGACAAGACAGGCTTCGACTCTATTGAATCATGACTTTTTCTGGAGACATTGGACAACCTTAGGATTGACTCAAGGTACTCAGTTCTGATTAAACATAGATATGACAGTGCATAGTTCTCGGGACATTGGACAACTGTAGGATTAACTCAAGGTACTCAGCTCTGATCAAACATATGACAATGCATATATGCAAGTCAGAATAGACGAAGATGTTAGAACAGCAAAGATCCCTATAAAGAGAGGAGTGCCTTAGGAAGATGCTCCGTTTACGCTGACAGTGGAGGAGGTATTCAAGGGCTTGGACTGGCAAGACAAGGGAATTAGATGGTGCGAATACAATCGGAAGATTGCTGGAAATGGACAGGTAGAAATAGAAAAATGGAAGTGGCCTACATTCAGAGGTATACAAGAACAGCCTTATGAGAAGATACTCTGCATATACCCTTGAATATTTCATTTCAAATATTACGTACAAATCAAATCGAAAACGAATCGAATCAAACTTGAGAGAAATTAAATCAATTACAACTTGGGTATTTGCTGGTATTTATATCTCTCCCTAATTATTCAACTGATAGATTTTTCCAACCAAAACTATCACAAATGCTGGAATATATTATATTTTCGGCAGCTGATTAGGTATTGGGATTGGTTTGGATCGCGTACTGTGTATCTATTGCGGCACATAGCCAAATGAAGCGTAAGATGTTTGTGCCCAAGATAATAATATGCCCGATTTTCCCTCAATAAAATGAAATATACCCTGAAATATGCAGGTATTCCTTCCTTCACAGTAATTATGATGCTCAATTTCTCTTATAATGAATAAGCAATAGATACGATCTTTTAAATTCTAACATAAATTTTCTTTTTTTTTAGATGTGGAGGTGATGGTCAAATGAAATGTGATCCTAAACCTTGTAGTCCTGAACCCATGTTACGACAAATGATAGCAGCAGCAGCGTTGAGAAGAAGAAGATGAGAGAGTGAAACTGAAACCGTGTAAAATATAGTGACATAAACTGCACAAAAGTGCAAAAGTGATAAAGACGTTTTTTAAATTGATCAATATAGTTTCAGTACTATAATGAAGCATTCTGGGGTGCCAAAAAATACATACGGACAATTAGGTAGTGTGCCTTTTTTAATTATTATAATGTGTTTAAAAAGCCTGCGCAAGAGATGAATTTCTAGTCAAACATAGTTAGTTCTATCTGAAGGCTAAAGGCTAGGTTGACATCTTTTGTGGAAGGTACAACCCAAAATAAGGAAATAATGGGGAATTTAATGATTAATTTTGTTTGTTGGTCAGTCAGTTGTACTTAGTACAAGATAGTTCACTTAAAATTCTAGTATTAATATTTATTATACCTAATTTATTTAAGAATGCATTTTAGGTGGGAAATCTTGTATAAAATTGTACAGTTTAAATAGATTTTAGTTTTAAGATGTAAAACTTCTGATTTATTTTAAAGTTCATTATAAAATGGGTACATTTCTTCCCCATGCATGAATAATAAAACGAGACAATTTAACAATAACCACCGAATTTTCTAGATCTTTAGAGACGTGATCAATGTAATTTGTATACTCGACATTATACATATACGACTCGACTGAAAACAAAAATTTTACACTTTTGTAAATGTATATTAGGAGTTTTTTGGAGTGTCGTTTTTTTTTCTAAGCCAATCAATTAATGTATTTCTCGGGCTAGTAGTATTTTTTATTGTTTGAAAGGAGGCGTTTTAGCGATTTCTAATAGGGTTCGTTGAAATGACCATCATCGGTGTTGTGTATCCCGACACACGTCTGAGTTGTTTGACTGGTAGAAACTACCTGATGACGGATGATCAGGCAACTTGAAAAAGTAATTTTTCTGCTACTTGAACGCTCAGACTGTTTATTTGTATATTATCGGATGCTCAATATTTAGAATTTAAGTAGAATATGTAATATTTATCAATAATAAATTATATAAATCATGTTCTTGGTTTTATTTTAAATCTCAAAGCAAAGTCTATGTCTAAACATTAGAAAAAGTCGATTAAGATGAATAATTATCAACCTTATTGCAGGCAGACCCTATGTAGAATTATTCAAAATGCACATTTCAATAGAATGATGAAAATATTTAATAGTCGAAATTTCGTTGCTCCAATTTCAAGGGACCAAAAACTTAATTCAAGGCATAGAGCGTCGACTTCAAGAAAAAACATTTCTAATGCCGGTTTATCACCAAACCGACAAAACAAAAAGAAAACTTAAACTCAGACAAAACTCTAACATTTCCTAAACATTTTCAAGACTAGCGTGTTTTGCGACAGTTAGAGTTTTGTTTTTCGGGTCCCGTTCGGAAGCGGTGAATATGAAACTCAAACACAGACTCGAGTCTGTTCAGTTCTGTTTTTGTTTTAAAACATGTTTCAAAACACAAACTCAACAGTCTGTTTGGCGGAAAACCGGCATATTAAACACATTTGTCTGAAAAATACATACAATTTCAAAACATTTTTCGGATATTTTTTTTAGGACTGTTCTAGACTAGTTCTTAACCCATACGTAAATTTTAAACTGCGCAAGGGATTATAGAAGCAAAAGGAAGAAGACTTACCTAGTGCAGTAAGTTGAATTGCTAATGCCAAATAATAAGTAAAGACAGGCATCCTTTTTACAAGAAATTCGTTTATAAAATTGTCTAACAAAATTTCCAGCCGCAATGCATCCCAGAAGTCAATCTACCAGTTGTGGTCCCATGAAATCAAGCCTGTGCGAAGTAGATTCAACACTATGACTGCCTTCACTTGTTTTTTCTTTTTTCAGTTGACAGAAATAGAAGATAGGTAGTAGAGCATCTATGTGAAATTTTTGTTTTTTTTTTTTTGTAAGTGAAAATTTAATTTATAGTCTCTTTATGTATTGTATTGGTTTCAAAATAGGGCTATAAGGCTCTCGAAAAATTTAAAAACATCAATTTGATTTCAAAATAAGAATAATTAGTTAGCATACTTGAAGAACCTTTCAGCTAAGACAAAATGATTTTGGTACATCTACAAGATCGATTCTTTTTTGCATTAAAAATCTTTCAAATAACTGTCAAATCAGTACCTACATGTATTTTAAATGCCAGCAGTGAAATTGGCACTGCCTGACAGATCCGCCGAAGTAATCTCTCCTTCTAGTCTATAATCGTTGATACAGCCATTACGTATCGTAGCTTGTAGCATTTTCATTAGGCATCTACAAATAATCACCACTTTGATATGACAAGCCATAATTAACCACAACGACCAAATACTACAGGTTAGGTTCTGGTTTGAGTTTAGTTGTCCCCCAACTTCACCCTCTCTATACCGATGATGCCGAATCTAATGCCTAAGAACATGGCACGAAGTATACGAAATTTCGGTCCCGTGGAACAACCTTCAAAATTTTGATATGTTGTTATGCTTGGTCTAACAATACTTTTTTATCTTTGCGCCATACATCGCAATCTACAGAGTGCGTCAAAAAGAGAGTTCAAATGTTGCATGAATGGTTTACCAACCCGCAGTCATCTTTGTTTGAGCCTAAAATTTATAATGCAGTTTTAATATTGGACCTTCAAATTTAAAAAAAATTGAAATTAAATCAATGTCTTTGATCAGCGCAAATGCTCGCGTGAATTCGGTCATTATAGCTTGTTCAGGCAGTCCAAACTTGCTACGATGATATTAAGGTCATATCCAGCACCATATAACATTTTAAAAGTTTTCAATAGGATAATATAAATATAACATATCATGCCATTCTGAAAATCAAATGAATAGATTAATGGTAAACATCATTTTATTAAATTACCGTTTCTCTGTAAATTTGTACTTCTCAAATATGTCAAGTACCTACCTTTAATATAAGTAGTATTCATGGCAGAAACAAAATACATAGGTACTTACAATACTAAAAAGTACGTACAAGCAGAAAGGTCGCAAATAGAATTAAAAAAAAAAAACTACAAACTAAAAACTGAGCGGAAAATCACTGTAAATAGTTAGGTACATAAAAAAATATGTCTCAAATATGTAGAGTACCTATATAAATAGTCATCACAGAAACAAAATACATAGATAAAAAATACAAGCAAAACAATCACAAACTCCAAACTAAAAACTAAAGTATACCCGCTTAGCATAAAAATCACAATAGATAGGAACCAAAAAAAGTATTTCTCGAATATGTAGAGTACCTACCTATATAAATAATCATAGCACAAAGAAAATACATAGAATTTTAAAAAATACAAGCAAAAAAATCACAAATTCAATCCAAAATTCCAAACTAAGAAATAAATTATACCCGCTAAGCGGAAAAATCACTGCAGATAGGTACAAAAAAAAAATATTTCTCAAATATGTAGAGTACCTACCTATATAAATAGTCATGACAGAAAGAAAATATAAGTATACAGAATTGTAAAAAATTACAAATCAAATAAAAAACTCCCAAATAAAAACTAAATTATACCCGTTCAGCGGAAAAATCACTGTAGATAGGTACAAAAAACAAATATTTCTCAAATATGTAGAGTACCTACCTATCCTAATATAAGTAGTCACGACAGGAACAAAATACAGAAAATAGTGAGAAATACAAGCAAAAAAATCACACTTAGAATAAGGCAGAGCCGATTAGATGATTGGAAAATGTTTTAAGGATCGTTTCTAAAAAATCCAATCAGCTCTGGTTCAAAGTGTGTCTTTATTACTCACCCTTAATTGTTAAGATTAACGTAGTTCTCCATGATCCACGGATGCTTCATAGCATCTTTTAAGGACATTCTTTTCTTCTGGTTTAGGACAATCAACTGAAAAAAAAAAGAATTAGGAACCAAAGATTAAAGCGGAAGTGCAAAGTAATAATTTGACGAGGTCAAACACTACATGTAACCAGAATGCAACCTGACACTAGATTTATAGTTCTGAAAATCAATTCGGAAATTCGCAGAAGTTAGTGCTGGAGAACATCCTTGAAAAAGACCTGAACTAGACAAGTCAATGTTCAAGAAGCATGGAATAAAAACCTGAGGAGCACTGGGTGTCACATTTTTTTAGTGAAAACCACGATAACAATAAGGACTCAAGGTAGTGGGCCCAGATAAATAACTCCAAAATTGATTTCATAAAAAATAAAACAATTAGCAGTTAATCCTGATTCTAGGGGATTTGCTGACTTTGCAGAGGTTTGCACAGGAGCATTGCACCTCTGCAGGCCGCAGCGAATTTCAAGACCGTATGATACCCTCGACAAAACTGAGGATGCAAGTGGCGGCCCTGAAGAAACTGAACCCTACTGATCTAGATCGGGAGGGATGTCGATAAATTAATATTCCCCCGTATTCACGCTGTGAGCATATGCAACGCTACCAAAAATTCAAATAGCAATAATGTACATGGGCTGATCGGGCTTCAAAGATCGTTCCACTACAAAACGAGTGAAGCCAAGTCTAGCTAGTATATATACACACCCAGGCAGTTTCAAGCCAACATCCTTCCACAGTTGTACAGCCAAGACCTTTCCGTCTTCCTAATTTCCTTGGGTGATGCCCGGTGATGGCAATCTTATAGACCGTCAGATAGTGACATATTTAGGTGCCCCAGTTTCGCATACAAGCCTCGAAGAGGGTTGAAAAGTACATCGACTTCGAGTAGGATGAAGGTATTTTTACGAATGGCTCCTGGGGATAACGTATGGAAAATTCGATTTTCCGTAACAGAAATGAAAAACGTCCTAGTGCCCATATTTTTTCGCAAGCAGTGTTCATCAGAGAATTAAATAATTAAACCTGGCTTCGTGAAAACAAATAAGGGGGTGTTGCAGGTGGCTGAAGGTTTGAAATAAGGGCGGAACTTTGTAAGGAAGAATCGAGATTTTGGGCGACTTTTCCACACAAGCCCATCGGAAGGATGAAAATCTACAACTTCGGTAGCAGGAAAACATATTTCCTTGAGTGTCGCTAATGGAAAACTACATTTAAGGGTAACATAAGTAAAATCGAATTTTCCATATGTTATCCCCAGGAGCCACTCGTAAATATACCTTCAATCTATTCAAAATCGATGTACTTTTCAACCCTCTTCGAGGCTTGTGTGCGAAAATGGCGCACCTAAATATGTCACTATCTGACAGTCTATTGGGGATAGGGCGGAAATAGCCATGGCATCTGCATATCTGCTACAAGACCGGGGAACACCGGTCCCTAAAGAAGACTTCGAGAAATTGATGTATCACTCTGAGAAAGATGTGACTCCAAAGCACATCACGTGCGCTGAAGAAATAATGACGTCAACGAAAGTTCTTAGTCGATTGTTTAGCAAAGACTAATTTTAATATAGTAAGAGGCAGCCAACCCACTTTTGTAATGCCTAGAAAAATAAACAATAATAGACCTGATTTAATATAAAATTAGGTATATATGTGGCAAAATAGCAGGATGGCATGTCTCCTCGGATATACCTATGTCGAATCACAGGATCTGCTTTAAACTGCTGCTCGAGTCACCAAAAATAGTACCGTTTAGAAATATTTAGGGCTCTAACAGAAATGGTAGCGGATGGGATAGAGAATTGGAAAAACTCAGGAGAATATTCGAGAATTCCTTGAATGTGGTCAAAAAAACTCAAAACTGGGTAGATTACAAAGAACATCTGAGAAATTTTGAAAGGAAAAACCGAGAAAAGAAAAGTATCCACTACGTCAACGGCATTTACACTCGAAAAAGTTCTCTCAGAAGACTTATATTATGCAACCAGACTGACGGTACATACGCCGTCATACCCCGAAGACTCGAGAAAAGTACTACTGGAAACCTATTTTCCAGAATGTAAAATGATAGTGTAATGATGTTCGTTTATTTAAAGTGATTTTATATCATTTCTTTGGTTTACCCTGCAGCTGTTCAAAAGGAAAATGTTTTGGAGGCAATGCGGGCATGGATTCTTTAAGTGATGTTTTTATTATCGGGTGCCAGGCCTAAAGGAGACCAGTAGAGAGTACAGAACCTCAAAAGAATATTAATTTCTATCTATTTCAATAGAATTAAATTGGAACCTCGAAAGTTAAGTTTCTTGCACCCAATTGAGTTGGTATGCAAGAAGTACGAGCAAGTCGAATTTTATTAGTCACAAAAGCAAAATATGAAACTTCTAGAAATCTATCTAAACAGTTTCTACATAACACGTTGAATCCAAAAACAATTAGCTTGATACTTAAGAAAAAAATACTCAGTGACAAGTACTTATTCTGGCTTCAACGAGACATTCTTATAGACTCAAGTCTCCAACCCAGTGAAGTTTAAAAGAGACCGATATAAAACTAAACGCAACGATAATCACAATGTACAGAATCTGTTCTAAAAGAGAATTCGTAGGAAATTTATAAGAGAAAAAGTATGTCAGTCTAACCCCTGGATAGATTACTATCATTTGCAACTGGAACGTAGTGCAATGTTGAGGATTTGAGCCAAAATACAAGAAACTCAAGAAAAAAATATAAAAGAATAAAACAAATACATATATGCAGCATACGGCTTCGAATGACAAAATTAGGTTGGCAATATGAACCTTCAAGCCATTTAAGGCCGCAGCAGTTGACGCGTCATTCCGCAATGCTTTACTGGGGGTCTGGCAATCATCGAACACCTAGAATTTTGATTCAAGGCCAGTCTTGGCTTAAACTATACAGTGACCGCCAAAAAGTTTGCAACAAATGGGAAATTTTTTTATTATTAAGATATCAAAGAGAATGTTACGGGGGATCGATTCAGCATACCCATCAACAAAAAAAAGCTCTCTGACAGATGTCATGTGACCACAGTTATGGCAGGAAATTTAAAAAGTTCGTCTTAAATATGTAAAAAGTGGGGTTAGATGACCAGAAATCGAAAAATTGTAGAGAGAAGAGTGGTTCAGGATTCGATTTTACGTCTATGTGTAAATTTTTAAAAAGGTACAAGGATTTTTAATAAATATAAATTTTTTGGCCTGTTTTCTGGAAATTTGAAAAATATCAAAAACTTTTCGCTTGGATCTTATAATTCAAAGTGAAACTAAAAAAAAAAACTCAGTGCAGTCATTCTGCTTAATTGTCCCGCGGAAAATTGTAAAAAACCAAAAATTTATTTTCAGACCACTCTGATCTTGTTGCAATGACCTACAGAAAACAAAAATTTGAAAGAACAAATTTGGAATTATCATAAAATCTTTCTAAATGATCCAATACCTCTTTTCTAAATTCAATCAAACCAATATTTTTGCGAAAAGTTTTTGATATTGTTCAAATTACCAGAAAACAGACCAAAAAATTAATATTTATTAAAAATCCTTGTACCTCTTCAAAAATTGACACATAGACGTAAAAACGAATCCTGAACCACTTTTCCCTTTACAATTTTTCGATTTCTGGTCATCTAACCCCTCTTTTCACATATTAGAGGCGAACTTTTTAGATTTGCCGCCATAACTGTGGTCACATGACATCTGTCACAGTGCTTTTTTTTGAATATCATCAGTGTCAGCAAAATAAGTAGTTCAGTCGTACTCCGTCTACTCTAATTGCCTTATCTTGCCAGTACAAGCTCGTAAATACGTCTTCCAGAGTAAGCGTGAATAGTTTTGGAGAAATCGTATCTCCCTGGCGCATTCCTCTTTCTATAGGGCTCCTAGATGTTTTTCTATCGTCATCTATTGTGACTTGAACCTAAGCATTGTCATATATGTTTCCCTAGCGTTATTCAATGTTTTGGGAACTGCCCATGCTGCATACTACTCAGCAGGCGAATATTGTAAGTTCAATGTCTGTGAAATGTATTTTATCCTATTTTTCAAATTTCCAAAAAAAAAAAAAAAAAATCAAATAACGTTCTCACAGATCGTTTCCTACAGCTGATAAGCGGGTAATAATTGAAACAAAGAAAACACAAAAAATATCTAAAATCTCGGTTTTATTCAGACTATACCTAACAAGTTTTCTATTTTAGGAACAAAGTGTAAATCTCTGCAAATGCAATGTTGCGTTAATTATGTAACTGAATCATCTCTAAGAAACAATGTTGAGAATTTTCTGGAAATTTCTGGATGACACTGATGGGAGAAAGGAAAAAAGTTATTTACCATATTATACCAACAGATAATGTAATGTTGTTGGCGACATCAATCTTTCACAGTTTTCAAGTTCATAAATAAAGGACTGGTCTAGAATGTCTACAACCATACCTTATTAAGTATTGTATTTTCATATTTTCTAGACCACTTCATACTATGTATTCAAAGTATTCGAGGTTTAGACTGTGACTAATTGTCTGCTGGTTTGTCATCGGCTAGCAAATTGGATTTCTTGCTCACCGTTCCACTGAGTTGCATTTACGGCGTTTCTCTTAAAGTCCGACACACAACAAAAAAAGGACCGAAAGAATGCGACCCCCCGCGTCCCACCCTGTACGGGATCAAACACAGTAAGTTTCCTGTTCGTTCTGTCACTACGAGTTTTTGGTGCATCTGCTTCCTCTTCCTCTGCAAGCGTCGTCCTTTATCTTTCGTGTGGCGGACTCTAAATTCATTGAAAGAAGGGTCCCATGTGCACGCTATCTACATAGATTTCACTAATGCCTTCGATAGAGTAAACCATAATATCCTTACCAAAACATTGAGAGACATTAGAATAGAGAACCCATTTTTTTCCATTTTACAAATTTGGGTCACACTTAAAAATAAAGCATGCCATATACGAAGCTTTGAAAATCGGCCATTAATTTTTTTGTAAATTTTTATAGTTTCGGCAATTTGAGTCGATAAACGCATCAAAGCTCTG